AGTGGCATCATTTGTTAATATATCCGCTTCAGTGGCATCATTCATTAATGGATCCGCTCTAGTGGCATCATTTGTTAATTATCGGCTCCAGTGGCATCATTTGTTAATGTATCCGCACCAGTGGCATCATTTGTTAATATATCCGCTTCAGTGGCATCATTCATTAATGGATCCGCTCCAGTGGAAATCATTTGTTACTGGATCCGCTCCAGTGGCATCATATGTTAATGATCCGCTCCAGTGGCATACCTTGTTAATATATCCGCTTCAGTGGCATCATTTGTTTATATATCCGCTTCAGTGGCATCATTCTTTAATGGAACCGCTTCAGTGGTATCATTTGTTAATATATCCGCTTCAGTGGCATCATTCCTTAATGGAACCGCTTCAGTGGCATCATTTGTTAATATATCCGCTTCAGTGGCATCATTCATTAATGGATCCGCTCTAGTGGCATCATTTGTTAATTATCGGCTCCAGTGGCATCATTTGTTAATGTATCCGCACCAGTGGCATCATTTGTTAATATATCCGCTTCAGTGGCATCATTCATTAATGGATCCGCTCCAGTGGCATCATTTGTGTAAATGTATCCGCTCCAGTGGCATCATTTGTTAATGGAGTAACTCTAATGACATCAGTTTTTAATGGATTTAAATTAAATGATATATGCTCTTCAGGAAGTTTTCCTGTAATACTGCTGTACGGGGAGCTCTTGTGGTTATTGTTTTCTTGTAATACTGCTGTACGGGAAGCTCTTGTGGTTGTTGTCTTGTGATACTGCTGTACGGGAAGCTCTTGTGGTTGTTGTCTTGTGATACTGCTGTAAGGGAAGCTCTTGTGGTTGTTGTTTTCTTGTGATACTGCTGTACGGGAAGCTCTTGTGGTTGTTGTCTTGTGATACTGCTGTACGGGAAGCTCTTGTGGTTGATGTCTTGTGATACTGCTGTACGGGAAGCTCTTGTGGTTGTTGTCTTGTGATATTGCTGTACGGGAAGCTCTTGTGGTTGTTGTCTTGTGATACTGCTGTACGGGAAGCTCTTGTGGTTGTTGTCTTGTGATACTGCTGTACGGGAAGCTCTTGTGGTTGTTGTCTTGTGATACTGCTGTACGGGAAGCTCTTGTGGTTGTTGTCTTGTGATACTGCTGTACGGGAAGCTCTTGTGGTTGTTGTCTTGTGATACTGATGTACGGGAAGCTCTTGTGGTTGTTGTCTTGTGATACTGCTGTACGGGAAGCTCTTGTGGTTGTTGTCTTGTGATACTGCTGTACGGGAAGCTCTTGTGGTTGTTGTCTTGTGATACTGCTGTACGGGAAGCTCTTGTGGTTGTTGTCTTGTGATATTGCTGTACGGGAAGCTCTTGTGGTTGTTGTCTTGTGATACTGATGTACGGGAAGCTCTTGTGGTTGTTGTTGTCTTGTGATACTGCTGTACGGGAAGCTCTTGTGGTTGTTGTCTTGTGATATTGCTGTACGGGAAGCTCCTGTAATTGTTGTTTTCTCTTGCTTTACGATTTATTTTGTGGTAATAGTGTACTGGAGTTTTCTGTGGTGGTGTTTTACATTTAATTTCTGTAGTAATAGTGTACCGGACGTTTTCTGTGTGTCTTAAAAGCTAATTTCTGCAGTAGTTTCGTACATACTATGAGTTTTTTCCTCTTTTGTCATGTTCTGTTTTTTTTTAAATAACAAATTGTATCAGTTTTTTCAGGTCTTTTATTATACATGCAGAATCATATCAGTGTCGTGCCGGTTTCTGTTGTAGCGTATTCTTGGTAGCTTATACTGCATAACGTAACGGTGTCTTTCTATGGTAGTTTGTTGAATATGTAGATATCGTGAAAAAAACGTTATTACGTTGGCGCGCAATCATTAGTTTTGTGTCTAGTGCTACCGTTCTGTAGGTCTGTTTACACAGGTTTGATTTTAAATGTCATCCACAGATTGGATTGACAAACATTGTTATGTGATGCGGCCTATGATTGTACGTTTTTGTGTTATCATTGAACACTCTTAGTCCAAATATGGTAATATATAATTGAATGTACACAAAGATGTTTACAGGTTTTCGCTTTGTCTGAAACGAATTATGCGCACAGTGACCGTTTATGGAACAAAGTAATTATCCATGCTGTCCAGACTTGTCGAAACAACTTCCCTGTAATGCATCATCAGACCGTTGAAATACCCTATTAAAACCCATTATAGACGACCATCAAATGCTTCTATTTTAGGCATGCACATTGTAAGTCTACATGCATTACATGGGCTAAATGGTGCACACATATCCGTCATAGTCTGTTCTGCTAAAACATTTCTATCACATTGTAATGTCGTCCTCAGTAAAACAAAGCGATAGCTTTCAAATATGAGTGCAATGATGATCATACAAGTGGTCACTGTGTCGTGTTCCAGTTTACAAACCTTTTATTATCCGTATTGATACTATTGATGTTTTTCATGATGTATAGTTAGTTTAGTTATTTGTCAAAGTATTCCATATATATATATATATATATATATATATATCCTAAACTGTTGTATGTATAGGGTTCTATGTATACTTATTTCCCAGTCCTGTTTAAAATAGAAAATAGAGAAAATTCCTTAAAATCCCACTTCACCATTAGGAAAGATTAGATATTGCGCAAATTTGGTCAGAAGAACTCTTTGGTGAAGAGGTACAAAATTTGTGTAAGGATTGGTTCCCAGAGGCCTTAGGGGCAGGGCCCAAACGGGAAAGTTTTGAAAGTTCTTTTTAGAAATCTTACTCCTCCTACAAGAATGAATGGATATTGCCCACATTTGGTGTGAAGTATTCTTGGGTGAAGGGGACTAACTTCTGTATAAACGGTGCATTCCATCTCCCTAGGGCAGGAAGGATGGCCCAATTGTGGAAATGTAAGCTCTCTTAAAAGTCCTTCTTCCATACCAGGATATCGTCCAAGTTTGGTCTGACCCTATTTTTATGAAAGTGAATCTGACCTCTATTTGACCACAAGGGCAGAACACAACAAGGGAATTATATCAGAATTGTTTGTCATATTTGAAATTATTTATCATCATATGACAGAAAAGCTTGATTAGCCAGGTGAGCAATACAGGCCTCCTGGGCCTCTTGTTAAACTGATCTGCACCCAGAAGAAATACTTTCAGATCATATTTGATCATGTCTGACCGGGATATACATTACTACTGTATAGTAAAGTACTGAGGAAATGTAGACGTAGTGAGGTTTCAGAATCCGAGAGGAAAGAAGATATATATTTAAATGTTTCCAAGTAAGATTTTTAAAAAAAATGAAAAAAAAGTATTTTGGTATTCAAAATTTATACTCCTCACTTTTACAAAAATGGCTTGGCTTGGGTTTACTTGTATTGATCAAATCAACTGCTTTTATGGGAAACCGATACTCCATTAAATTGAATTAGGTTTGTTAACTTAAAATTGAATGTGGAGTGTGATAATTATAAAACATAAAACTAGACTTCAATCCACTACCTTGTTCGATAATATGCCTCATTATTGTTCTTTTCTGATTACTTACTATCACACGAACAGATTGTCTGTCAGAACCAGAGGGGTGGTGTCCTGATAGCAGGCACTGGCCAACAGACTGTAGGTGTTAATGGACGGTCAGTCACATCCCAAGTCACCAAGGACAATAAACGTCAGAGACAGCCGGATGTGTTACCTCTACTCTTAAGTTTCTATGTCACTTTAATCTGCAGATATCATCAGCATTATATTGATATTCAGTGTGCAGTGTGCTGTCAGCGTTAAAACTAGGCCAGTGAAAGGTTCCTCGCGTTTGATTTTATAATTGAAAAAAGATTGTTGAATGATGGCTGCCAAGTTGAGCATTTCTTTTCCCTTCACATTGATTTTCTTCCATGTCTCCGATATAGATTGTAAAACAATCTGTGGTATGTCTTATAATGGTTAAATAATGATGGTTTTCGATAAAACATGGAGTGATAGGTGATGTTGATGATCAGTAAGTCAGTATAGTCTGTTTTAGATATTACTGTCTACAGTAACTGTCTGATCCATATCCCCCTTGAAGAACTGCCCCAGCCTCCCCCTCACACACCGTGTATCAACAACAAACGACCTATACTGCTGATATATTTCCTCAACCGTTAGGGATTTTTACTTTCCAAGATTGTAAGATAGAGCTTCCTGCTGTTGGTACTGCAAAGTTAAATGTTAACATCGCAACTTTTCTCCAGAGAACCACACATATGTATGTTATACCAAGGGGAGTTTGGACAAAGAGCACATGCTCTCCACAACGGGTTGTTATAACTGGAAAGCAAATGACATGGTGATAGATTCTACAAAGTAAAATGATGTGAATTGATAATGACAGAACTATCTGAATATAATGTAAATATATAGCTCTACAAAAGTGTCACTAGTTAACATGATGTTGTACAAGTGCAAAAAGGCACTCATCTTATATCAGATTAATGTCACTCATCTTATATCAGATTAATGTCACTCATCTTATATCAGGTTAAAGTCACTCATCTTATATCAGGTTAAAGTCACTCATCTTATATAAGATTAAAGTCACTCATCTTGTATCAGGTTAAAGTCACTCATCTTATATCAGATTAAAGTCACTCATCTTATATCAGGTTAAAGTCACTCATCTTATATAAGATTAAAGTCACTCATCTTGTATCAGGTTAAAGTCACTCATCTTATATAAGATTAAAGTCACTCATTATATATCAGCTTGAAGGTCACACTTTATAAATCAGGTCAGAGTCACAATATATATATATATATATCAGGTCAGAGTCACACTTTATATGTCAGATCAGGGTCATATTAATTGACTAAACAATTGTCTCTAGTCTGATTGTGTAACCAATTAGCTGTAATTTTATTGAGAAGCCAGTTTAATGTGGTCTGATTGAGTGTCAGATTGAGTAACCAATTAGCTGGCAAACAGTCAACATGAGACTAATTTGACGATTGTTTGTTTACAGGACCCCCGATTCAGTGATGAAGTTGACATCAGGATGGGTTATAAGACCAGGAGTATGCTTAGCATGCCAGTCAAGGACTGCACTGGCAAAGTGATTGGTGTGGCTCAGGCAGTCAACAAAAGTAGTGTCCAGAATGAACCCTTCAATGACCATGATGAAAAGGTAATTCTGTGGTTGTCTTTCTACATTGCTTAAGAGTAAGTGATGATAACTGGGGATGTTGACTGAGACTGTGGACAGGTAGTTGGGCTAGAGACTAAAAGTTGGGTCGTAGATAGACTTATAGTTGAGGTTTAGACTTAAAGATGGGCTATAGACTGAGAGTTGGGTTGTAGACTGATAGTTAGGTTGTAGACTGATAGTAAGGTTGTAGACTGGTAGTAAGGTTGTAGACTGGTAGTTAGGTTGTAGACTGATAGTAAGGTTGTAGACTGATAGTTAGGTTGTAGACTGGTAGTTAGGTTGTAGACTGGTAGTTAGGTTGTAGACTGGTAGTAAGGTTGTAGACTGGTTGTAGACTGGTAGTTAGGTAGACTGGTAGTTAGGTTGTAGACTGATAGTAAGGTTGTAGACTGATAGTTAGGTTGTAGACTGTTGTAGACTGATAGTAAGGTTGTAGACTGATAGTTAGGTTGTAGACTGGTAGTTAGGTTGTAGACTGGTAGTTAGGTTGTAGACTGATAGTTAGGTTGTAGACTGGTAGTTAGGTTGTAGACTGATAGTTAGGTTGTAGACTGATAGGTAGGTTGTAGACTGATAGTTAGGTTGTAGACTGGTAGTTAGGTTGTAGACTGGTAGTTAGGTTGTAGACTGGTAGTTAGGTTGTAGACTGATAGTTAGGTTGTAGACTGGTAGTTAGGTTGTAGACTGGTAGTTAGGTTGTAGACTGATAGTTAGGTTGTAGACTGATAGTTAGGTTGTAGACTGATAGTTAGGTTGTAGACTGATAGTTAGGTTGTAGACTGGTAGTTAGGTTGTAGACTGGTAGTTAGGTTGTAGACTGGTAGTTAGGTTGTAGACTGGTAGTTAGGTTGTAGACTGGTAGTTAGGTTGTAGACTGGTAGTTAGGTTGTAGACTGGTAGTTAGGTTGTAGACTAATAGTTAGGTTGTAGACTGGTAGTTAGGTTGTAGACTGATAGTTAGGTTGTAGACTGGTAGTAGACTGGTAGGGTTGTAGACTGGTAGTGGTTGTAGACTGGTAGTTGTAGGTGGTAGTTAGGTTGTAGACTGATAGTTAGGTTGTAGACTGATAGTTAGGTTGTAGACTGATAGTAGTTAGGTTAGTTAGGTAGACTGTTAGGTTGTATAGTTAGGTTGTAGACTGATAGTTAGGGTGTAGACTGATAGTTAGGTTGTAGACTGGTAGTTAGGTTGTAGACTGATAGTTAGGTTGTAGACTGATAGGAAGATAAAACAAATTAACTAAAGTAAAAGACTGGTATATAGGTTGTAGACTGGTAGTTAGGTTGTAGACTGATAGTAGGTTGTAGACTGATAGTTAGGTAGACTGATAGTTAGGTTGTAGACTGATAGTAGTTAGACTGGTAGTAAGGTAGATAGGTAGGTTGTAGACTGTTTGTAGTAGTTAGGTTGTAGACTGGTAGTTAGGTTGTAGACTGGTAGTTAGGTTGTAGACTGGTAGTTAGGTTGTAGACTGGTAGTTAGGTTGTAGACTGGTAGTTAGGTTGTAGACTGGTAGTTAGGTTGTAGACTGATAGTTAGGTTGTAGACTGGTAGTTAGGTTGTAGACTGATTTAGGTTGTAGACTGGTAGTAAGGTTGTAGACTGGTAGTTAGGTTGTAGACTGGTAGTAAGGTTGTAGACTGGTAGTTAGGTTGTAGACTGGTTGTAGTAGTTGTAGGTTGTAGACTGGTAGTTGTAGACTGGTTAGGTTGTAGACTGGTAGTAAGGTTGTAGACTGGTAGTTAGGTTGTAGACTGATAGTTAGGTTGTAGACTGGTAGTTAGGTTGTAGACTGGTTGTAGACTGATAGGTAGGTTGTAGACTGGTAGTAAGGTTGTAGACTGGTAGTTAGGTTGTAGACTGGTAGTAAGGTTGTAGACTGGTAGTTAGGTTGTAGACTGGTTGTAGACTGATAGTAATGTTGTAGACTGGTAGTTAGGTTGTAGACTGATAGTTAGGTTGTAGACTGGTTGTAGACTGATAGTAATGTTGTAGACTGGTAGTTAGGTTGTAGACTGGTAGTTAGGTTGTAGACTGGTAGTTAGGTTGTAGACTGGTAGTTAGGTTGTAGACTGGTAGTAAGGTTGTAGACTGGTAGTTAGGTTGTAGACTGGTAGTTAGGTTGTAGACTGGTAGTTAGGTTGTAGACTGGTAGTTAGGTTGTAGACTGGTAGTTAGGTTGTAGACTGATAGTTAGGTTGTAGACTGGTAGTTAGGTTGTAGACTGATAGTTAGGTTGTAGACTGATAGTTAGGTTGTAGACTGGTAGTTAGGTTGTAGACTGGTAGTTAGGTTGTAGACTGATAGTTAGGTTGTAGACTGATAGTTAGGTTGTAGACTGGTAGTTAGGTTGTAGACTGATAGTTAGGTTGTAGACTGATAGTTAGGTTGTAGACTGGTAGGTAGGTTGTAGACTGATAGTTAGGTTGTAGACTGGTAGTTAGGTTGTAGACTGGTAGTAAGGTTGTAGACTGGTAGTTAGGTTGTAGACTGATAGTTAGGTTGTAGACTGATAGTTAGGTTGTAGACTGGTAGTTAGGTTGTAGACTGATAGTAAGGTTGTAGACTGGTAGTTAGGTTGTAGACTGATAGTAATGTTGTAGACTGATAGTTTGACTGTAGTCTCATAGACTCCAACAATGGTAATCTGTTCAAATTGCTCTTTGTCAGTGGTCTTGGTCTGTTCATAAACAATCTTTGTTATCACTATTTTATAGACGTACTGGAGGGATGTTTTTCAAACGTATCTGTCCCTAGTTGTGTCCATTCAGTTTTGTGTCTGCTCTGTGAAATAAAGTGAATGACAGGTGGCCATCTTTGATTTTGACAGTTGGAGGTTGTTATTATTATTTCTTGAGTTGTCCAGGAGGGATATTTATCGGTCCTTATGTTCCCCTTGGTCCTCAGTTGTGTCTATTAAATTCTGAATTTGATCATTGAAACAAAATGGCCGATATCTGACTATCTCGGATTTACACAGTTGAACTGTGTTATCGTTATTTCTTGAGAATGACTTGAAAGTTATTTCACAAACTTGATTTGAAGGTTTCCCTTGGACCCAATTTGTTGTGTGTATTCAAGAAAACAAAATGGCTGACTGGCGACCATCTTGGATTTTGACAGCTGAAGTTTGTTATTGCTATTTCTTAGATTTCATGTGTTGGATTCCCTTGTTATTAAGTGACTTTAACGAAGAAAGGGTCAAGTAGAGAAGAGTTCAGTCTTACAATGAAGATAATTCAATAGTGGCTGACAAGATCCCTACAATTGTTTGAGAATGTGGATCCAATCTGCTTCATAGACATAAAATGGGCAGGTTTCATCAGCTAGGTCAGACAAAGCAACCAGTAGGTGTCAAGGGCCATCATTACACAGATTACTAGTGTTGCCAGAAAGTACAAAATGTGCATTTAATGTGAGTTCACTGTCCTACTCATTCACTGAAATTTAATTTCCTTCCAGACTCATAATTCCTTTAAACTTGCTGGGTAATTGATATCAACTTTGTCTTGACGTCATACTAAACCTCATTTTTCAAGCCTAATGGGATTGAAGATATCAAATTATTGCACACTTTACTGTGCACTATGGCCTGTACCATCAATACATTTGTCTGTGTGAGACGTATCCACTTGGCTCTCCGAGTGGTCAGAAAAGCAGGTTATCTGTGTGACAGACAATAACAGGTCAAGGTCATTGGTTAGTAGGGTAAGACTTTTGTTCAAGGGCATTTAAAAGGCAAAGGAGAAAATTATGGAAGGTACAGGTGAAAGAACAAGATTATCACAGGGACAGGTGAAAGGAGATTATCACAAGGGTAGGTGAAAGGAGATTATCACAAGGGTAGGTGAAAGGAGATTATCACAAGGGTAGGTGAAAGGAGATTATCACAAGGGTAGGTGAAAGGGGAAGATTATCACAAGGGTAGATGAAAGGAGATTATCACAGGGGTAGGTGAAAGGAGATTATCACAAGGGTAGGTGAAAGGGGATTATCACAAGGGTAGGTGAAAGGGGAAGATTATCACAAGGGTAGGTGAAAGGGGAAGATTATCACAAGGGTAGGTGAAAGGAGATTATCACAAGGGTAGGTGAAAGGGGAAGATTATCACAAGGGTAGGTGAAAGGGGAAGATTATCACAAGGGTAGGTGAAAGGAGATTATCACAAGGGTAGATGAAAGGAGATTATCACAGGGGTAGGTGAAAGGAGATTATCACAAGGGTAGGTGAAAGGAGATTATCACAAGGGTAGGTGAAAGGGGAAGATTATCACAAGGGTAGGTGAAAGGGGAAGATTATCACAAGGGTAGGTGAAAGGAGATTATCACAAGGGTAGGTGAAAGGGGAAGATTATCACAAGGGTAGGTGAAAGGGGAAGATTATCACAAGGGTAGGTGAAAGGAGATTATCACAAGGGTAGGTGAAAGGGGAAGATTATCACAGGGTAGGTGAAAAGGGAAGATTATCACAAGGGAAGGTGAAAGGAGATTATCACAAGGGTAGGTGAAAGGGGAAGATTATCACAAGGGTAGGTGAAAGAAGATTATCACAAGGGTAGGTGATAGGGGAAGATTATCACAAGGGTAGGTGAAAGGGGAAGATTATCACAAGGGTAGGTGAAAGGAGATTATCACAAGGGTAGGTGAAAGGGGAAGATTATCACAAGGGTAGGTGAAAGGGGAAGATTATCACAAGGGTAGGTGAAAGGAGATTATCACAAGGGTAGGTGAAAGGAGATTATCACAAGGGTAGGTGAAAGGGGAAGATTATCACAAGGGTAGGTGAAAGGGGAAGATTACCACAGGGGTAGGTGAAAGGGGAAGATTATCACAGGGGTAGGTGAAAGGAGATTATCACAAGGGTAGGTGAAAGGGGAAGATTATCACAAGGGTAGGTGAAAGGGGAAGATTATCACAAGGGTAGGTGAAAGGGGAAGATGATCACAAGGGTAGGTGAAAGGAGATTATCACAAGGGTAG